GACACTGATATTGAAGTTCTGGCTATTTTCCTGAAGAACCTGTTCACTCCTCCATACACATTATTAACTGATACAATGTGGTCTCCTGATTTTAGTAAAGCCTGCATCACTGTTGATACTGCTGACATACCAGAACTGAATGTATAAGCTATAGAGAAGAGGAGAGAGAGGGAGGGGAGAGAGAAAGAAAGAGATATATTAAGGGGATAATCATAGAGGGAAATAAAGAAAAAGGTGATAAAGGTTAAAAGAGAAATGTTACTTTAGCAACAATACTTAAAAGGCATTAATAGTTTTAATGAGGACAAAATAGTCATGCTGCTAAAGTAAACCTCGGTAAAACTTTGCAAATTAAATCAATCAATTTATTATCATAGTTGATCATACCATATTGTGCTCATTCACAAGCTGCCAGTGACTTCTCTAATGTAGTTCTAGTTGGATTACCATCCCTAATGTAATCATGCATAGGCTGGAGAGAGAGAGAGAGAGAGAGAGAGAGAGAGAGAGAGAGAGAGAGAGAGAGAGAGAGAGAGAGAGAGAGAGAGAGAGAGAGAGAGAGAGAGAGAGAGAGAGAGAGAGAATTGTAGAAGAGAGAGGAGAAAGAGAAAAAGAAAGGGAGGTGAATACATTGTTAATAATTAGTTGTTCATCAGTTTCTCTTCTTACTGGTTTTCCTGGTTCATCTTGTTTATAAGTGGTACAGGTGAATATTGGCGGTACTATTGCTTTACAGTTCCATTGTTCTGGGTCCTGTCCAACGTGTATAGCATTGGTACCAAAATGAGGCCAAGTAGACATTTTGTACAATAGAAGGCGTGGTTCTGGTTTGCATATTTTGGGAGTGGCTGGTTTTGAAAGAAAAGCTATCATGGCAACTTTCTCTGGATCTCAAGGATTGCCTCTACAACTTGGTAAGTTGAAGAAGTCTTGACTGTGTTTATCAAATACATCTAATTGTTAGATAAATCAAACCTGAATGAGGTTTTGGTGCTTTTAAGGAAGTGTGGTTTCACTGATAAGAGATGGTTTGAACTGGGACTGGCTTTAGGCTTGTCAAAGAATACACTGGACACCATTGAAATCAATTACCCTCGTGATACTAGCCGTTGCTTGTTAGAATGTCTCACTAAGTGGCTGGAAAAAGCTGATGATGTGAACAGTAAAGGAGGAGCTACCTATGAGTCACTGTCAGTTGCCATTAGAGATATGAATGAGATTGCAGTAGCTGAAAATATAGAAAAAGAGAGTGAGTTAGTATATTACTGCCTTCTATTGTTATTGTGTTAATATAGAGTGTCCTGAAGTTCTCGCTGTTCAAGTTTTCAATAAGCACCTTCCCCTCCTCTCCAAGTCTCTTTCTGATCCTGTTAGTGTTGCTAGGTTGCTTTATGGAGAGCGTGTAATAACACAGACAAAGTTAAATAGTGTGGAAGATGATGGTTTATCTTTTTCTAATAAACGGCGGGTCCTGTTAGCTGTTGTCAAAGATGCTATTCAAGCTGATCATGTTGCTTTACAAAAATTCTCTATTATTTTGCGTAATTTAACAGATAATGTGAAGCTAGGGGAAGGTATTCTTAGAGATTATGGTAAATAAATTGATGGTATTTACTTCATAATTATTTTATTTATTATAGGGTTAATTTTTTACAACAGTGAAGAAACTTCACTCATTAAAGCTGAAGAAGGTAGACTTTCAAACTACTGATACCCTTAATTAAAAGATATTGATGGTTATAAAATTAGCCCATTTAAGTTTAAGGCCAATCTGAAGTGACATGAAGGAACAGTACATTGTAGCATGCTCTGCAGCTCTGAAAAATTTAAGCCATACATGTATCTTATGCTCATAAAACTTTATATTAAGTCTATCTATAGTCCAAAATTTAGTGTTTGGATAAATTTATTTTTGCTAATAAACAATAATTATAATTGATAACAATAACGTAATTAATTTGACCAATGGCCTAAATATATTTTGATTTTTTGTAACCTAATCTAATAATGGATACTCTCTTTAGGTATTACTGTATACTGGGATATTTTTGCGTCGCTAAATTTTCGCAAATTTTGCATTTGTAAGATTTCATGAAATAATATTTTTGCGAATAGCCTGTAAACTCCACCACATGGCAATGGAAATTCAGAATTTCACAATTTTAATTTTTGTGACGGAGCAAGAAAACGCGAAATCTGCAAAAATTTAGCTACTCAAAAATTTACCAGTATATGGTATCAAGAGTACTCTTGATGGTATTTACCCTTGATAATAATCATAATGATTATGCCAGGTAAAT